CCGGAGCCATTCCCTTTTGGCTCCAGCTGAAATCCTTTGACTCACCATATTAGTTTTTCCAGCCCCCATTTCATTTCTAGAGCAATTCTATTTTGGCTCTAGCTGAAATGCAGCAATATCAATGTTTACCCCTATTTCAAAGCCTAATGAGACTTCCCGCCCACTGCCATTCACCTCCCGTGCTGATTGATCTAAAACTAACCAACACCCCCCTGCGATGTGGACTCCACGCATAATATTGTTATGATTTCATAAGTGCCTTATAAGTATCCCACTATCCATTAATTTGAACACACTGGGAATGGCAATGGCTAGTGAACCCAGTCTATACTTGTATAGCACCATATACCAGGCAATTTTCTGCCTTGAATGCTGCATTGCAGTTCCTGTAAAAGTCAAGTGCAGACATCTTATTGATGTGCATAAGGTGCCCCCTGAAAACTGAGACCATCACCTACAATGCATTCCGTCTAATGCAAAGCCACGCTATGATCACTCAGACTTCCTAATTCCACCACATATAATACCTGTTCCCCACCTAAAGATGGTTAATCTATGGCACTGCCCTGACTGCGATTTCCTAACTCCATCTTGTGATTTGATTAGGAAACATCATCAACAACAACATCTTGGTCTAGGGCTAAGTCTGGTTCAAGTCCAGGGCCAGTAGTGGTTCTGTGGATTGCTGAAGACTAGATACTGGGTAATCAAGACTGAGTATCTACATCAACAAGGTGCTTGCGCGCCTGAGATCAGGTCTTTACCACCTTTGGTGCAGCGCGAGTTGGAGACAATTTCAGATAGTATCTGTATGAACCTACAACATCCTCACTAATAATTTTGCTAATACATGCTGTAGATGCAGATGTCCCTGATTCACAACTATCAGGTCCAGAACTAGCTAGAGTTCTAGGTAAGGATTTATACATCATATCTAAAATATGCTAACCAGCTAATCCTTCTAGTCCCTGACTCACAGCCCAACTTGCAGTTAACTAAACAGACTGAAACTGAGACATGTGATTCAAGATAAATACCATTAATTCAGGCACCTACTCGACCAGCATGGATTTCCAGGCTTATATATGAAGAGACTTGAGTTCATGATGTTCAGAAATACTCATCTAATGCGCTGGGTAAAGATTCTATCTTATTACCTTTGCTAATATATGCTAACCTCTCTAAGTTCTAGACTCCTATGTTAGCACTAAACCCGTCCCTAGTCTGGTTCTAAATATAGAAGACATGGCTGGATATGCTCCTGGTCCCTCTCCAAACTTAGATGATGTGTTTCTCCTTAATAACCACCATCTTAATAATGATGTTACTCCTTGGCTTTAATCCACAGAGTGGTTACACTACTTTCACGGACGCTTGTTAGATGGAATGGTTTGGGCAGCTGGACATGTTGGAACTCTGCAGTCCATCTGTGAGCTCCAGCCATTCTGGGGTGCGCTAGATGTTAATTACTGATTTGAGCAAGTGCTGATTAATTGCAGTAACCAGATACTCGCCATGATCCTGGCGACCTTTGATTGTATTATGGAGCAAGCATTTCGAACACTCCACCAGACACCTACCTCTATTAAGGAAGTGTTTTTAAGTCTAATTATATAATGCTGAGGAAAGCGTCCACTTGACTTCCTAAACCCTAGCACAGAGAAGGGTTATATCTGGGTCTGGAGACAGCTTCTTTGCTTCATCTTCCGCAGTGTGCCTCTCAGAGATAATAAAGTGTGATGGTTAAAGCTTGGGGTATTTTTAGATCCTTTATAGGAATGGGAAGCTACTCTAATATGGGATTGGCTTGACTACTTCCTTGAGAGCTATATTGAAGATAGTTTCACTAATCCTGATCCCTTGGAAGATAGGCCTACTGAATGATCACAAGATCTGGAGTTTGGCTCATAATGTGCTGTTGGCAGCCAAGGATCTACTAGCCATTAAATTAAGCAGCAGGGGCCTTCAGCCCAACAGCAACTTTAGATAAAGTGATAATGGCTCTCAGAGCAACAGCCATTTCAGATATTAGTTGGTGTGGTTATTCCACCTCCGTCCAAAACCTATAACACGCAGGTGGTGTCTTAAGGTTTAGGGAGCTTTCCACCCAGAGAGCAAGCCCCTAATATAGTTCTAATCCCAATGACAACAAGATGTGGAGGCAGGAAGTTAAAGGTTATGTCTAAGAAGAGGAATATAAATCCTTATTTATAATAGCTACATTATTGTAACTGCCTTGCCATCATGCAATCCTCAAGTCAGTTAATTGACCCTTCAGGAGATGACACTGAAGTAGCTTCAGATGGAAGTGATGGATCTGATGGTACTAATCCAAGCTTTACTGCAGATAAGCTTGGATCAGGCTGAGCATCATCATTCTCAGGCACTGAGAGTGACTACTCTAATGACTGGTTTCCCCCTGAAACTACAAAGCCCAGACTTGGAGACCTAAGACATTAAAATAATAATTATATCCTGCGCTGCCTTCCCTCAACTGGTCAGGCCTGGCTGGAAGAGTGGCTTTTTTCATTCTGCATTAGGTTGCTTACCAGAAAGGCTGGCCACACACATAGTGATAAATTTCAAAATGTGATTGTTACTTTCACCACCATGTGTGGAATCCAACCTAAGACAAAGAGCTTCTATAATCCTTACAGCTACACTTCCAAACTTACAGCTCTCTTATAGGTATCATGGATATTACTATTAGAATATGCCCTGCCAGTCAAGCCCTATGGGTTTATTCCCAATATCTATGCCTGTACTGAATATCCAAATTACCTTGACCAGGCACTGTTGGTACATAGTACCTTTACTGGATGGGATAGTTAGTATCCTATGGCTAAGCTCCTGCAGTTGATAAGCAAAGGGCTCAGTATTACACGTCACCAGAAGCAACCCCTAAATATGCACTGGTCAGATGATGGGCAAGTCATCCACCATAATAGGGCTAGAGGCATTGCAATAGACTTAATGTGTGCTTGGGTCCAAGGCATGATATTAAATCTAACTTCCTTTTTAGATGAAGTCCTGCTCTAGGGCTATAAGTCACTAATCATGCTAGCTGACTTACAGGACTGGCTACATGAAGATACAGCTGGCTTCTTATTTTTAGATCTGCTGTCACTGCGTTAAATATCCTGTGAAGCACTGCTATAGCTCTGTGAGACTCCACCTGATGGCATTCAACCCATAAGGCAAAAGGACACATGGGACTTTAAAGGTGTAGATAATACCTAAGTAATGTGAAGCAGTTTCTATGAGAACTCGCAGTACTAATTAATATGACTTGGGGGCAGCTAAGTTAAGGCATAGAGCTCTAGAACATCAAGTAGCAGAATACATCTACATCTTGATGAAATATCTTTATTTATAATAGATCTGTGCTCATCATTATAGATTACAACAAGAGCTGGAATTAGACTGAGTTATATAACCATACACCCTGGTTTCTTCCACCACAGGTTGGGAGGCTGGTAGTACTTTACCTTGTTCATGTGCAATCCCTTGTTTTAGCTCTCAATTAAGAGAAGAGATAAAGGTAAAAGAAAGGATCCACACCTGCTCTGCCAACCCAGCCCCCAAACCCCAACCTACAGATGATTATTATTTATTTGCTGTGCCTGGAGCAAGGCATACAGCAGAGAGGGGATAGGTATCATAGATGATGTTTGAGTTAAGTAAGGGGGCCTTTAATGGTGTGCGCCTCACAACATAAAAATACTGTTATATTGCCATTAGAATCACTAAGAAGCACTTACCATCTCAGGCTTCTAGGGAGGACCTAGCTCAAGCAGCAGCACTGCTCCAGAATGTCTTTACTGCCCAGGCCGGACATCATTTCTTAATTAATCAACATGTCTATGCCAGGGACAGGGCTATACCACATGCAGGCTTTGGGGATAAATTAGACATCTTTCAGTGGGCATCCTATCTATAGCATAACTTCATCCTCTGGCCCACCTCACAAGTCTCTCAGCTAAGAGTAACATCTAGTTAGCCTACTCCACAGTTCTCCCTGCCACCTAGCACAATCTCTTAGCCATTTAAGGACACTCCCTGGCCATTCCTTAAGCACTTCACGGAGTGGAAATTACTGATATATATTAACCATAGCACTGCTATACCATATATGTCAAGGGCTACACACCTTTAACGACACTATGCAGATCGGTTAATTACTCATGATGAGGTTCAAGTAATAGAGGATTATGATCTTCTATGTCTTGAGGATATTTAGGCTACCCTGTGTGAACAAGAAGCCCTATGCCCTTTTCCATTTCTGGAACTAAAAGATGGATATAGATGTCATAGGCCTGGCTGTCAATTCATTACCAGCTCTAGGAAGAGATGGCTATTGCACAGGGCTAAGGTGCATGCAGAAAGGAATCATCAAAACACAAAAGTACAGGCGTTGATGGACCAAGGAAGTTACCTAGTAGAGGTGCATGTCCCCTAATACTGAGGCTTAGGAATTAGCTCTATTTTTACCTGATGGGAATCTATCATCTTATATATATACCTACTAGATCTCCTATACCCACAGGCTAATACACTGATTCTCCTATCCTACCGCCCATTATGATGAGCAATGGTTGTTAACCAGGCTGGCATGCCCTAATTTCGGCCGGGGCCATGTTTCACTGGTGTAGGTATTAATCTGGGTATTTCATAACTATGTAATCATTTCTTGTACTGCCTCATTATCTTACCTATTTACCTATAATGATAGTCAATCTCTCCCATCCCTTTTCATTCTCCATCTTCCTTACTGTTGTCAACCTTAACCACCTTACCAAACCACTCTAATCTGTATATGCATACTAATTTCGGTCAGGGCCAGGTATCACGTGCTCACTTATCTATCTAGTTATACTTTATAATACTCTATCATCTGCTCACCATTTAACTATCCTAATATATAGTTAACTATCTCTCCCTTCTCATTCTCTATCTTCCTCCCTATCAAGCTTAACTCTACTAAACCACTAAGATGGAGAATGAGAAGGGAGATTAATCTGTAAGTAAATACTACCTTACTTTCCTTCACTATCTGCACTATTTCTGGTTTTAAGTCTTCCTTTCTTATAGCTGTGTCCACTGCAAGTGCAGCACCACTAACCATATTATTAGGGCCAACAACCACACCTCCATCCAGATCTCTATCAGCAAGGTTGATGAGAACAGTCGCTACACCAGCGATAACCAGAGCTATGTGCTCTGCGGCTTCCTCTGTGCTCATGGCAAGAGTGATGACTCCCTGAACCGCCTCTGCCAGTGTGATGGCAATGTGCGCAATGTCTGAACCGCCAGCCGCCAGCGGTAAATGCTAGATGACTTTTTCTGGTGTTTGCTGTGCGAGACAGGTTGCTTGGATATAAGTTCTATATCTGTTAAATTATGGTCAGCCAACCCGCATGCTGATTTGGATGTTGGTGCGGATAGGAAAAGATGGGCCGTTAGATAAGTTATGTCTGGGAGTTAATGATACCTGAAAATCATTTTCTTTTACCATGAGTTAATGAAGACTTAAAGAACTTCTATCTAATTTAACCCTGTTAATCCATTCCATGTATAGGATCCTCACAGCTTCTATTACCTGTGCTTATCTGACCTGTATTACTCACAGCCAGGTGCCCCCTGATTTCAGCCAGAGCCAACTGTTGCTTGCTCACAGCCAGGTGCCCTGGATTTTGGCCAGAGCCAACTGTCACTTACTCACAGCCAGGTGCCCCTGATTTCGGCCAGAGCCAACTATGCTGTCAGGGCGGCTGAATATCATGTGATGATGTTATTGGCTGAGACACTTGTGGGTGGGTGCTCAGGCTCAACCAATCAGATTGCTTGATGGTATATTCTGTATAGCTTTAATGTTCACAGTAACATACATTCACAAACACATTCACTTTTCTATAAAATGTCTTGCCTAGGGCTTCAACCCTGTGCTATATAATGTATAATTCTGTTCATCCACCTCCATCTTACCTCCTTCCATCTTCTTCTTCTTCTTCCCCTTAACACCATCGCCAACAACATCTCATCTCTAACTACAAATAATTTTAAGGTCAGTATCTGCTTCTAATAACTTTATTATTAATTCTGCTTTGATATTGCATCTCCTTCTTCACCTCCCTGTCCGAATTTCCCCTGTTTCCTTTGCTTGGACCAACATAACCCGTGGATTTCTGCTAGAGCCAACAGAATTAGGGGCAGATCTGGCGCGCATACTTCCCCTTGTAAACCCTTCTATAGCACCAGGAGCAATCTACAGTTTCTTTATTACTTTTCTTTATTGTAATACTGAAGCTAAGTTATTTGTCTTCCTCTCCATGCCCCTAAGAATCCCTGGTGTTTCTTTGTCTATACCAAACCCTATAAGCATTGGATTTCCACCCGAGCCAGCATTTGGATGTGAATTTGGCATGTCTTATTGCTTGCACCCTTTGGCCTGCTAAACTTGGGGTAATCTAGTGTTCCTCATTTCTATTTTCTACTGCTTATTTCCTTGTTTCTAAATTCCACCACTTAGGTGTTTGACTTGCTCTCTTTTCTTATGACAAAGACCTGCTCAGCCATGTTTTTCTTTTACCTAAGTGTACTGATAGAACCTAGTGGTGAGGATTCTAGTTGTGTTGCTCTTTACAAGGGATACTAATAGTGAATAATAACACACAGTGTACCAGACTCCCGTCCCTAGTTATCTATCAGTGAGCTATCTCTTAGTCCTTAGTGAAATTAGTGTAATCTCACTTCCTTTGCTAATCTGTGTCTTTAGTGATTACTTAGTGAGCTTTATCTGAAAATTCATTCTTTCATCCCTGATACCTGGCTTTGTTGTTCTTTGTCCACCAAACCGCCTCCTGACACCTTCTTTGTTTGCATACCTTCAACTGTCCAGTCTCCTTGGCTCCCACCGCAATCGGTGAATCCTTGATTGAAGGGTGTCGGTCTTCAAACTTGCTTGATTTGAAAGCTAGGCTAACATCATCCCTAATGTCCAAAAACTGTTTGATCTGTGTGCATTGCAGCCACAAATTTCACCCTTATAATCACCGCCAACTTCTGTTTTACTTTTAACTATAATAGTTATTTCTTGCAGTAAGTCATCACCTGAAGCCCCTCCCTCTCCCACCCGTTGGATCAGCCTTGCCTGATTGGGCAAATTTCGGCCGGAGCCAACGTCTGGAGTGAGTGCCTGAGGCTAAGTTGGCTGGGGCCGAAATCAAGCAGATTCCCCCCAGGCTGATTTCAGCCGGAGACAACATTGGGAGTGGGTGCCTGAGGCTAAGTTGGCCAGGGCTGAAATCAACCATAATACTCACAGTGCGGCTTAGGTTGTTGGGAGGCTGAGCTTTTGGCCGGTACTAAAATCATGGAGTGTGCATTATAAAAGTGATGGCTGACCATGGTTAATCTTTTCAGGAAGTTATGGCATCTAATATAACTCAACCGTGCGGCATTGCTAGCATTAGCTATGATAAGAGTTTTGTCCAGAATTTGGAGGGCAGTGCCACCTGCCTTGCGGGCTGCTTTAAGCTGAAGGATTCCACTGCAATCTGGGCCCTGATTGATAATGAGCCAGCAACCAAGGATATCATCTATGGATACATCCACATCCACACTAATAACTATGACCATACTGGCAAGATTAAAGGCGCGGTTAAGAATACTGTTGTGGACTGGTTGTAGGATGCTAATATGCTCCCTGTCTTGCTAGCCCTAGCAGCACCACGCGTTGGTGTCCTGGGTGTTAAAGATATATAGATCCCAGAGCTAATAGTCCTCTGGTTTGTCATGTAACTAATAAGAGCCAAGGGCTTACTCTTCCTGTAAAGTAACCTCTCTGCTGATCCCCTGGTCCTTAATCTGTATGATATCCTGCATGGCTGGAAGTTGCTAGCCTTTGTATAGAAACAGATCCAAGGTGGTAAAAAGGCTAAAAACAAGCCTTAAGTAAACCCAGCACTGGAGCCTGTCTACCATAACCTAAACCTAACTAACCTGAGTATTAGCCCCGGCCAAGATCAGCCTAACTCCCTGTGGCCCAACATAGTTGCTGCTGATATATTTGGTGGCGGCCATAACAATGTTAACACATATATCATAGTAAGGGAGCGTGCTGATTAGGGCAACCTTACTATACTTAATAACTATGATATAGTCTAGGAGAGCCTTGAATGTATCTTTAGGTTAGATCATACCAGGAATAAGGCGGTGATCACCCAGCCTCTGATGATAAAATCAGAGTGAGAGCTCTTATGCTCTCATATGATGGGGATGGATAACTTTAAGAGTAAGCTTATTATTCACAAACCTGCTAACATGTCAGTGGGGGATTCAGAGACCTAAGTCTTCCTGAATCAGCTGGCGGCTGCTAGTAATGTGTTGGAGATGGTTGTGCTCACTGTAAGTGAGGTAGGTGGAACTGAGACTAAGCAAGCCAAGGAGGGCAAGCTTGGTGATGCTAAGGGGTGGATGACCCTCTCTGCCGACCTGCCTTTATATGACTGCGCCTGCTAGGAACTTACACTTAATCCACTGAACCCCCTTCTGGTGGTCCCTTTGAATATGAACTAACTAGCCATGACCCTTAAGAAATGGCAAGTCTTGGGGCATGTTAGATGCTTTGCTAAGAAGCAAGCCTGGTTACTGCAGGCATCCTTGCTGATGCCTATGGCACTGGCAAAATAACAATAACTATTGCAGCAATCTAGTATGCGTCTATTTAAGTGGAGAAGGACCCAACACACACCCATAGACTAATAATCATTCTCTATCTATCTGCCCTTATTGACACTTGGCTAACTGAGCTGATGGTGAGGTTAGGTGATGCATTCACCATCCTTCTCTTCTATAGGCTCTTAGCCCATACTTTAAATTACACACGCAAGTCCCTTACTGTTGATACACTTGCGGACCTGGAGGAACAACTTGGGCAGCTTGACAACTGTAACATGAAGATGTTGTGAATAATTATCCTCTTGTCATATAGTACCTGGGCCGCACGCACTGTGACCAAAGTGACCAAGGTTGATGGCAAAGGCAAGGGCCGCTAGGTTGATGGAGCTGAGGACGGCGAGGATGAAAACCCTGATGAGAATACACTGGCTATAGAGCAGTTGGCACTATTGCAGGATGCGGCTGAAATGGGCAATGATGGAGATATAGATGAGCCAGAGGATTTCAGCTCTGGCTGAAAAGCATGACTGGGAAAGTGATACAAGTTAGCAGTGTCTGGATGGTTTGGCCATGTAGTCTGTGACAAGGGCCATGCGGCCAAAATCATCTAGACATGTATGCACTAGTCAGTCAGTCTGCTCAAAGCCCCCATATTTAGTTTCTGACCGCAATGCCCCTTTATAACTGTGCCTTTGATCTCTGTGGTTATCTCACAATCATCTCCTCGAGCTTATGTGATGCTGTTAACACTAACAATACTGACTTTAATTAGTTCTCAGAGTATAAGTGCTTTGCTAAGATGGATTAACTCCCAACCCTACTACTATATAATCTCCTCCAGCCAAAGGCATTCATTAGTCTTTTTAAGAAGGGGCATCTAGCGCCCTAGGAGGCCTACTGGGCCCTGCCTGTCATCATATGCATGATCTGCCTCTGGAGAGACATAGGGGATCCTGTTGATGTCTCTGACTTGACTGCCTTAATTGGCGACAAAATCCCACCCATGCAGATAATATTGGTGGATGTTTGGCACCCCCTAAGGGTGCTTAAGGAGCACCATGTCTGGTTTATCCAGCTGGTTATAGAGATGAAACACAGCAGTGCCCTAGACAAGGAGGCACATCACGCTGGTGCCCCTGGTGGTGATAGCTAGGGGCACCTTAACTAGCATGTGATACGCCTCCTGTGTCACCTATTATTCTTACTGCTACTGGATGACTATTACTGAGCAGCTAATGCAGAAACTAACACCATGGCCCTGGTGATAGTAAAGGTAGTGGACCAGGGTAACAGAGGGTTTACTAATTTTTGGTGGAGAACAATGCCTGGTGTGAGGAATATGATACCTATAATGTGGGTAGGGGTGGCACATTACCTGTTAGCAGACTGTGTGAAGCTCAGATACCTCTTTTGTATTTTCTAACAGGAGGGCCTATGGCGGAACCTGACTGGTAAGCAACCCTGTTTTTTAATCTTCTGTTACTGGCCAATAGTAATGTGGATGGTGGAGATGTTTTTAGATGTAATTAGCGTCCTGTATATTACCATCCGGGCCCAGATGGGAGAGGTGGCCTGCTGGGAGGCTGCTGCTGAGTTCACTAACTCCCAATCCTCTTACTGCATCCTGCTCACATCCTACTAATATGGGGCCCATGGCCTCAACCTCCACGCAGAGTATAGCTATGTGATCCTCCTTAAGCCGCCCTTGAATCTTAATATGCTTTTTTAGGTGGTGGGACGCGTCTACTGCCTTAGACAGTAAAGTAGCTAGAAGGTGTGGTCCATCTTCTAAGAGTATACTATATCCAGATGGTTAGAGTGCAATAACACGCTCAAGGCCCTCCCATAATTCTTAGCACAACTATATGATCTACTGAAGCCTATGGTCATGGCAGCACAGGTGAAGGATGACAGTGAAGATAAGCAAGCCACCAACCAGGCCAAGGCTGAGGTCATCCAGCAGGCTGTGGTGGATTATCTCCACTGTATGCTCAGGCAGCCAGCCAGTCAGCTAAACATCAAGCACCTGGATGACCTTGGCCTACCACAGCAAGATCTAGACCAGATGAAAGCCTGCATGACGCCTAGGGGCTGTAAGAGAGAGAGAGTCAGGCAGGATTCACTAACTAAGGCCCGCGCGCAACGAAAGCGCACCAAGGCTACAGCCAGTAAGGTAAAGTACCACCTATCTAACACTTACCCCTCCGCCTTTCGACTGGAGCCGACATTCGGCCAGTGGTTTGGCTCTGGCTGAAAAGCTTGGGATTGTGAGTTCATCTGTGTAACTGAAACTGACTGGTGATGTAGTATAAATCCACCAAGTACATGGTCTCAGACTCTGAGAAAGGGTCCCCACTAAGGAGAGCAGCTGCAGCAAGTCCAAAGCTAGCTACTCAGGTTTAGATGCGGATAGTGGCAGAGATAGCCCTGGCCCTGGTAATAGGGGTCATCGCCCCAGCTCTCCCCATGACAATGATGATAACAGCAATGGGGATGACCACAGCGGCAGTAGTCAGGGCCCTATCTCTCAGGATGATGATGATGACGAAAATGTTAATAATGACAAGCTACAGTAGTTAGAGCCAGTATGCCCCTACATTCATTCCTTATACTTCCCCTTGATGTGGATATCAAGCTAACCTTAGGCTTCAGACTTGTGCGCGGCAGCTGGCGAGGCTGCAGAGAGTTGTTAGGGGCAGTGATCTGACTATGCCACCCCCAGCCAGCAGGGAGTGATTAGAGTGAGTGCTGCAGGAGTAATTAAGGTCTTAGGAGAGAGCTCTCTACTTAGCTCTGCACTACCTACAGCACCACAGTCTCTAAAGTCTAATACCCCATGTGGATTGCCCCCTGACCACTAGTCACCCTTCCTCCCGCCTCAGGCGCCCCCTGTGCAGCCTATGACCCAGAAACACAAACAATGGTAGCTAGTTAGTAAGTCTTCTCCCTTGCTCCCCTGCACGCTGCTGTTCCTCACAGGCACTAATAATTTTTCAGAGGCGACAGCAGCAATGGGGCGGCCTTAGCGACGCTAGTAAAAGGCTGTGCGGTATAAGGTCTGATCTTAGTATGCATCTTCTACTTTCAGCCAGGGCTGAAATCACTGGATCGTCTCTGGCGGCCTTTGCACGGCTTTTATTTCTGCTGCCTTCTCAATCAGCGACTGCCATAGTTCGCTATTCATTTAGCGACCGCATCTGCAGTATCATTACTCAAGTGTTCGCCGCCATCCCTATCCATCTTCCAAAGTTTGAGCATGCACATACCCCAGCATCCACTTTTGGCCAGGGCTGAAATCACTGAATCATCTCTGGGCAGCCTTTGCATGGCTTTCATTTCCACCGCCATCTTGATCAGCCACTGCCATGGTTCGCTATTCATTTAGTAACTGCATATGCAGTATCATGCTCTGTGTTCGCCGCCATCCCTACCCTTCTTCTGAAATTTAAGCATGCAGCTACACAACTTTTAGCTGCCGCCTTATTATTCCCTCATGGCTCACCTGGTGTCACTATGGGGGTTGATCTTTTCACAGCTGGATTTAGAGAAGGCTTTGCAGAGAGTACTGGTCTTCCTTTTATCCTCTCTCCTTGGTGCTGTTGGTGCTCTGGGCTTTTGATGATTAACTAGCATCGGGCATCAGGATGATTGTTATTTGCAAGGGTGGGTGGTGGGTTTTGTTACATAGCATGGATGCCCTAGTCTAATTATTATTTATTCCAGTGCAGATCAATGATTAATCCTATGGGTTAGCCGCAGGGCGTTATTTGCACCAGGCCATGAATTATTAGTGTGGGTGGAGGAAGAATGGGAATCCCTAATAGTAGTAGTCTTCCAAAATATATTTCCGCACGCACATGGGTAGTGGAGTTTTATGAGGTTACCCTATAAGAAAGACCTTCCTGCCCTGCTTTGTACATTATCCAGCACTGTTGTTAATTGAAGGCTCTCCTGAGAAGGGGTAGTCTTCATCCTCTGTAATAGTAGTAATAGTGATAGTAGTGATAGTAGTGATTGGGGTAATTTATTAGGATCTTAAGCCATCCTGAAGGGTGGGAATTATTAGGGGTAAAAACTTAACAAAATGTATATATTTCTGGGGGATTAGGGGGCAAGACCCAGGTCACCTAACTGTAAGATGGTAGGGTGAGGGCAGGAGGAAAGTTATAGAGATTGATCCTTGGTCTAGAGAGTGAACCTTACTGTGTACTTCTTAGAAACTTTTAATCCTACTTCCCACTATATAGATGAGGATGGTTGATTGATTGATCCATCCATCATCCTAATGTGTAGGATGGATTAATTAATTCATAATTAATTAATTATGGTGGGGTCGCGTGACTGGCAAAGATGCTCTCAGGGTGAGGATAACACTTATAACTAACAAGACTCCTGCTTAAGGGAACTTCAACTCTGGAGTAGACATGGACTCCAGAGTGGATATGAATTATAACTAATTAAGCTGCACTCTGTACTCTGCGCGGACCCAACCTTCTGCTCCGCCCTACTAACTTTAGTATAGGGCCTGAGGGTCTATACTTCTTGCAGAGAGTCATCTTGGCAGACCCCAACAAAAAATCTCAACATGTTGACCATACGGCTTTCCCCCCTGGTTTGACCACCTTCCCAGCAAATATCCTTGAATCTAATACTGGAATGTTATAATGCAGCGGATTCGCATTATCAAATGATTTTCAATCATTGAAAAAGATGAAGATTTGATGGAGAGATAGGCGATTCCTGTGGAGTCCAGGAGCGACTATGGAGTCCCACCGTGGAGTCCGGACTAGACGGGGAATGGACGTGGAAACTGCAGTCACCAGGCCCTGCGGTCGGCCCTATTTAGTATGGGAACCGTGGAGTCCGCGCACAACACCACTAGTAGTGATTGTCCTACGCCACCAGGACATCAATATGGACCAGCTGAAACGCCTCATTCAGAAAATGGGAGAATTGACTGGCAAACCAGAGGAAGGAAAGCTACATATTAACCCAATACACCCGGAGGTTAATTCCTGCCTTGGGAACGACGAGGCTCTATGTGACCCCGAAATTTAAGTAGTGTCCTCCGAGGTAAGTGCAGTTATTTTACCCTAAAGTATAAGACTGACGATCAGTACGTATACAGCATAATCGCGATAAATACGACGACTATCTGAACACGAAGCAGAAGCAGTTTGCCAGTCGAGGTTGGCATGCTGAGTAAGTCTACACTGTATCCTTGGGTCTTTGTTACCCCACGGCTAATTCCGGGCGAGTACCTCATATGAGAATATCCCATCGGACTACATTGGGATGAAGATGGTGAAGGCTCCAATGACCGGAGGCGACACCCTTTTTGCCTCGTGCTACGGGGCCTATGACCGCTTGTCCGAGCCGTGGCAGAAGATGGCTGATTCACTGTCCTGTTCGCTCCTCGCGATATCAGACAGAAACATGCTAACTCAAGCCACTGAAGCCACGCATCATGAACCAGACATTATGCCACTTGCAGACAAAGGACTCAACCTTTGGTTAGGTCCCAGAGGCCATCTCCAGAATGTCGGTGGCAGATTCGAGGCGACTCAGTATGACACGGCTCTGAACCTTCCTTTTATTCATATGGAAAGCTGACAATGGACCAGTCCCCTGGTAATAACCAACCCGGTAACCGGCTGGAAAGCACTGTGGGGGTTTAGTCCAATCTCGATGCGCGCTAAAGGGAGAATCAATGGTGTTACTGACCATGAGCAGGAATTGTTGAAAGCCTACTGTATGTTAGGGGGCCCCCTGAGATTGCCTTCTCTGAACGAAGTGTTTTCTGATGGCCTTGCTAATGACCAGACTAGTCTTGAAGTTGATTACAGACAATCATGATCTGCAATACCGCCACCGTTGGAAGCCTGATGACATTGTGATTTGGGACAAGTGAGCTTAGTTGCCTTACTGCTTCACTGAACATGAGACTGACAGATATTAATTAGCCGAACTGTCCTCCACACCGGTACATAGTATGTTTACCTTCTGAGACTAAATCAAGGTGAGTCAGGTTTTTGACAAAATAAGCAGTGACCTCAATAATGAGGAACGGCTGGCACTCCGGGTCACCAGTCTCACTGGTAGATTATACTGTGACCCAATGTCTTTGTCCCGAGAGGAATACTTTCGCAGGAACGAATGGCCGATTCCACCATATGATGCCCTACAGTAGACTTACTATCAGGCGATGGACTCAGGGTCGGCGTGCTATTCGCAGAAGCGCCGTCAGTTTCCTAGCTCGCAGATGATTATACTGGAATATGGAAGAGGTAAGTATTGATTGTGACGTGTAGTCGACATCAAGGGGTCCAAGGAAGCAACACCCTTCGTTTCTGTGGACCATGAGTATTCGGCTGTCGTGAATATCCGAGGAAAATGATGCCGTGTACAAAAGGGGAGAGAGTCAGAAGGCTCATTTGATTGGTCCCCCTTTAAATGGAGGATATCGTCTCACACCAGTAGCAGTGTCATGCGCGGAGTCCATATTTGCTGTACTAATTATGGAAGACCACAACCCCTCCATAGCATAGAGTCTATGTTTAATTCCTGTCTAATCTAGAGTCTATAGTCCCCATAGTCCTACCTTCGCAGAGTCTACGAGCGAGCTCCGCCCGTCCCCATCAGCCACCCTCGTAGGCCACCCAGCACCCCCATCCTGGCGACCGCATCGCCCTAGGACCACCACCCTGGCCATTAGCGAGGGGCCATCTGGGCCTTATTCAGTTCATCCTATGGCCCTGCATCAGACCATGCTAGTCCTAGAGTCCTAATCTGCTAACATGGCTGTGAGAGCAGGGTGCACCTATTAGGATTAGCACACCCCATAGGTTTTACTGTGTGCACCGCCCCCACCTAGGCTATACCCCTTCTTATACCCGATAATCTAGGTTACTAGGCTAGCTAGATAGACTGCTCCCCTGGTCCTATTCCTACACAACTATCTATACAACTTAGTACCTATTAGGGTGTGGAATCTTATGCTAGTAGTGTACCTCCACTCCTGCCACTCCTGTCATTGCTTTCTCTTGGCTCAACATGACGGCTTTGGCCTGATCGATTCTACAGCGCCAAGTCCAAGTTCGTCCCAGCAGACACTTCCGTCAAACCCAGCATCTTATTCACATGCCAGTTCCTACGGCTTTCCTCACCAATCGTGACCAATCGAAAACAATAATGATAATAATAACTGGGACGCTTTGCAGTATTGGATTCATTAATGCCTCCCACAAAATTACCCTGGCATCATATAGCACATGTTTCCGTTTACGATCTCGTTCCTTCCCTCCGACGGTTGAAGCTATGGCCGTCAAGTACTTTCGTCGGCTGTATCCTGGGAGGCACACTGTGTCCGGAGCAACCCTTGGGAATTCGCTCACTGCATGCGCTACCCGGAAGCGCCGCGTGCTGATTCAAAAGCAATTTGAGCCTTTCTCACATTGTAGGCAATCACGTCGATGTTGGGATTGTTACACTAGTAATCCTTCCACCTCACAAGAGCTCTGTTGGCGTATCCTTTATTGTGTACTCAGTGTGTGTTGCCTTTTCTGATTCTGGCCAATTCATGCTTCCTGTTCGTTTTAAACCTACTTGCTTCTGCTCTTATACAGTATTCTTCCTGAAATCCAGCCTCTTCCAGATAGCCTTGCGTTCGGACAGCGTGAATTCGAGAAGACTTCCCCACTTAGAACCAAGCTTTTGGGAACACGCTAGTCCTAGCAATACAAACGTATGTATAGCAGAAGGAACGGATAAGTGATTGGCTCTGTGCACTACCCCAAATTTGGCTGCCGTAGGATGAAGCCGTAAATACCGCCACCTTTCCCAAGGAAGTATCTCACTTCGAAAATCGAGAAGCATAAATATCATCGAGCCCAAAGTCTTCAAGGGGGAGCCAATCCATCCTTTTGGATTCTGTATCGACCCAGATAGATTGCGAAGAAGGATGGCCTCGAACTATGGATGTGGAAACTTCCTTATTAAGGTGAGACCCGTCATATTAGGAGCAGGGCTTATGGCTAAACGTGAACAGTTGCGATGCGGGGTTTTGCATGTCTACATAAGACAAGGCGTTGATATGCAATTTGCTCCGTGACAATGATTCTATTTGTTGGCTGATTCTCTACCACCATTTCTCCATTGCTTTCCCATCTGAGCTAAGAAAATTTACTTTGCTTAGAAACAGAAATTAGCCACGCCCCCATCTCAACTCCAACTTGTGCTGGCTGGTCAAGCATGCTAAGATGGCCTGCTTTCTCAACAATCACGACCTCCTTAGCCTTCAGCGCGATTCCCAGCCTCCATGCGCTTTCTAGTGGTATCCAGTTATCCTCAGCGCCCCAAATAATCTTGACTGGCAACTGCGACCCGACTTCCCCATATCGTCCTTCAACTGCTTCCGTGGATCTTGAGTTAGCCTGGCATAGCTCCCGTATAAATCCCTCTTTCCCGCCCTCTCTTAGCCAAGGCGACTTTAGCATCTGCATAGTCTCCTTTGATAGCTCATAGAAGGCGGCATTCCGGATGTAGCCTTCTAGTATACCCTCAAAGGCAATACCAGGGAGCTGCTCGAAGTGATGGGGGTCATCAGCGACAGTTTTGAATAGGGATTGTCCAAATGGTCCAATTGCAACCACATTGATAAGGCAGAGACTTGCGTAGTGACAGTCATGCAGCAGGTATGCTCGCAAACTGAGCAAGCCAGCATTATCATGTGCAACGACGTGGGGCTTGTGATTGCCCCAGTCTGATTGCCACAGCTGAAAAAGCGCAGCGTAGACCTCGGATTGTCGAGAAAGGTCAGCGTCAAGCTCGACGACTTTATTGGAGCTGGTAGTTGTGCCCAGGACCTTGCGCTCCGGAGGGGAGGCTCCGAAACCAGGCCTATCAAAGAGATAGACATGGAACTGTCGAGATAGAGAAAGAGCAAAAGGTATCCAAAGACGGGAGGACCAGGGTGTTCCATGGATGAGAATAAGGGGCGGAGAGGCAGGGTCGCCTAGCGAACACCATTTGACCGTATAGCTATGAGTCGGATTCTCGTAGTGAAAGCTCTGATTTAGTGACGCGGTGTTGTCATTGAAAGCTGAAGTCATGTTTCTTTATGGCTTTATGGGATCAGGCAAGGCTCGCTGGTATTGACAGAGCGAATGAGGGACCAAACTTTTGGGAAAATGAATAGAAGCTGGATATCCTTGCCACGAGTGGCAAGGGCCCCAGGGGAAAAAGCAAACCGCAAGAATCGAAATACCCCGCAAACTACTCCTTGTCGTCATCTCGGCGGGGCCAATAGGCTCTATTTGCCGAGGGGCCAACCAGATCTTGTTCATGTTTTCCGCGCTAATGCCTTGGCGGTGGAGCCAGGAAAGAGTTACTCTGTATTGGTCAAGCCAATTTCGAGAATGAGTGTAACATTGAAAGTGACTTTAAGTCCAAGTCTCTCGAGTATAGCCGGTTGCAAAAACGGCGCAAATGGCAATACTCTTCCTTTCCTAGCGCAGCCATAAGGCTAGGCTTGATTGGGCTATGCACCGAATAAGTTACTGGTAATGCACGGACAATGCATGAGAGCTGTGGCGTATGGGTTATTTGTATTATTTTGTACCAATCAACCAAGGATGACATGACTGGAAGGCTTCTACGAGGACTAGTCCAAACCCTGCATCTTTCCTATCAGGAACAGTTACCCTGTTATGTTGCTCGTTGTTATCTTGTTACTTCTAGATCCTGCTAGAATAATACATGTACGGCAATAGTCCCTAAGCTTTATATGTGTTGTCAACTTCGTTATTACTCAGAGTTTGCACTGCAAATGTTCATTTAATATATGACAAAAATGATCCTGGTTGATAAGGCATATGAAGCTCTCTAGTGGATTAATGGCTAATTCCCTATGTAATCTTCCCCATTGTGTAATGCAACATCTTATGCTTGCCTAGGCCTGTTCTGTCTGCTGGGTAAGTTGCCTCTAGGTGAGTTCCGGTGTACCCTATAAGTTGTTATATAAAATGTGAAATCTTCCCTAGCAGCATCATCAGAAGAAACCTTATTAGGAATAGATTTACTATGTCTGGCACTCCCAAGTAATCTTGGGGAGACTCCGTAACTATTTGATTGACTTGAATGCTCGCAGCTGCTGTGCTAGCTGCGCCGGTAGCCTAGACTAGTAATATGAGGGGAGGCGCAAAGGTTGTAGTTGCCATGGTGGCACCTGTTGTCAGAAGCCTGCTAGCTATGAAAGTGGTGATTCCTGTGGCGGTCTCCCAAGTGCTTGGAGGCTGATATAGATTGCCAATGTGGTGGATCTTAAGTTGTTTAGTTGGCACGTTGTTGATTGTCAGTGGGTTAAACCATATGTATGGCTTGGAATTGTGTATAAATCCCTTGATCGACAATGGGTACACCTTGTGTGGGAACGCAAGGGGTTCCCTTACCAACATTGGGTGATATGCGGGGATTATTAGGTGAAATTGAACTTTCTTTTTCTTTACAGCTAAGTGTCGTCTCAGAAACAGCATCCACACAATAATAGAGTTGAGATTCTTGGAGAGGCTCAAAAAGTTGTTAGGGAGTGGTTCTTACTTTACTTGGTTGAAATATTCTGCATGCCAATCAGTATCAGGATGGTAGAGAAAGTAAAAGTGGTCAGGATCGCTGCCTTGTGTCTGATTGTTTTGTTGACCTGTTCTGTGAAAGACTTGGCTGCCATCAGCCCTGTCTGCGCCTGGAGCTCTCTGTGAATCTTTGACTGATGTGCTTGAGAGCAGAGTTGCCCTGGAGAACTTCCACCTAGGTAGTGATGGTATTTATTGTTATTAAGAAAGTAGAGATTAACTCCAGGTAGTTCTGCTGTGCTAGATGTTTGGTCAAAGCTGACAAGAAGCACTTGACAGTAGGTATCCCTTCGCGAAATGCTTCTCTATTTAGTGTCATTTCTTGAATGTTTAACTCAGCTGTTCTTGAACTTTGTGTATGTGTTAACACCCTTGGGGATCGCAGTCCACCAGGCTATCTTGATGTTCACGAGTTTCTCCTAGCCCTAACTACTGTTGCCGGCCTTACGTCCCTTCTTTCCTCCTGACCCTTTCTTTTTGATGGAACTTTGCGTTTGACCCATCGCTGTCTGTGGATGTGGAGACGGAGTGTGGAAAGGTTAATGAGTGGGGCTAAACTGATCAGGTGGGAAACCACCAGGAGACCCGGGGCAGTAGGAGAAATTGAATTAAAAACCATAAAATTTTTGGTTATTGCCTAGGCATACTGCTGGCCTAGATAGGTTAGTAGGTGCCTAGCTATACCTAGCTAGGCATAGTGGCAGGTTTTTGCTTTGAAACCATGACCAAATCGCACCGGGTCCGGGGGTTGTGAGTTCTAAATTTTGAACCTGAAACCGCAGCAGTTCAGGTCTAACTATGGTTGAACTCGCCCGAGCTCGCACCAAATGCAACTCTACTCCTATACTATCACACAGCGCTGGCGCTGCAAATATGCTGCCCACTCTGCGACCACCAGGACTAGAAACATAAGTGCCATTACCGTTTTGATTATATCAAGTTGATATTGATAGTAACTGATCCAGTTTCTCATCTGAGCCCACCAAATAGACTCGCCCTTGTCCTTCATTGCCGAGTGAAGGCCGGGAAGCCCATCAAGGCTCTTACTGTTCCATTGCATCTGGTAGCCAGGCATCTCCCCTCGATTAATTGTGTATTCAGCGAACTCGCCCAGCCTCGGACGGTTTGTGAAACACGGTTTTGGTTTGTTTATTTCTGGATCGACAGTGAGGTCGAGCAGTGGGACTCCAAAGCCACAGGATATTTGAACCTGCGAGAGTTTCAGACCCTGCAAAGAAGTGATAATAAACAAGAAGAATAAAATATAACTGACGGTACTGAGCTTGAAGATATCCAGAAGAATAACTGCCCTTGCTCCTACTAGAGACTTCACCCCCATCCGCTTGAGGTATCCAGCATACCTCGGACCGTTCCATTCAATCACCGAGCCCGTGCAGAAAAATCGCATGATTCGCGGAGTCGCTTCGAAAGAGCAGAACATTATGGTCGCCCGTCCATTTTCACGAAGGTGGCAGATAGTCTCACATCCGGACCCGGTCGAGTCGACATACGCCACTTTGTTGGGGTTCAAGACGGCAAAGGACGAGTCGGGGAGGCCCTTGGGGGATACGTTAATATGGCGGCCGCGCAAAGGAGCAGATGAGACGAAGAAGAGAGGTTGGCGGAGGGCCCAGTCACGGAGATTGTCAGAGAGGGATTCGTAGAAAATTGGCATTCTTTCTTCCTATTTTTTACTCTTTTCCTTCTTGTTGGATAGAGTTCCAAGTATCGCAGTCGATTCTGCTATGTTGCGTAGAGTGTAATATTCCACTGTTCTTCCGGTGTTGCTGGTGACGTTAGTTCGTCGCCTTGGTGCCTGCCAAGGCGCTTGCGATCTGCACGATGACATGGCATACAATGAAGCGCCAATTTTTGTTGGAGGAAGCGCTACGAAGTTTGGGGGATGATAATGGCAATCCTATTCCAGGGGGATTATAAACACTCTCGCAAGTGTGAGGGGTATAATGTAGTACTCGATAAATATGTAGCGGCTACATATCGCGAAGCGCCATCTAAGTGCGAGTGATAATGGGCCCAAAAGTCGAAATATAGAACAAACTACTGCAATCACCACATATTTGCAACCGCAGGTAGAAGAGCAACTCAATGACTGTTTCTCAGGTGCATCGAGTGGCTGTGATCGGCGCTGTTAGCGGGGTTGTTTCTACAGCCCATCTTGTGGCTGCTGGGTTTGAAGTAACCGTTTTTGAAAGAAACCAGCAAACAGGGGGGATTTGGTATGTATACGCTGTGCTGGGGATGAGATATTCTCGACTGACCGCGATAGGCTGTACGACGAACAGTCACCATTAGAATGTTCTTTTCCTTCTCCTAATCCTTCTTTCGCAGACAGAGTAGTGGAAAACGCCAGATTCGACAGAGAGAAGCTTCGCCTACAGCATGCTCCACCAGGGTAAGTGTTTCTTCGTATCCTCGAAGATGCCTTGTTGGCGCGAAAGAATGAACGAAAGAAAGAAAGAAACAGAGAGAGAAAGAGCTAATGAGGGGGTTAATAGCCCATGCTACAAAAACCTCACAACCAATGTGTCCACCCCTCTCATGCGAACAAAACTTCGCCCCTGGCCGGAAAATACACCGGACTTTGTCAACCACAGAGTTGTGAATCAATATATCAGGGACATAGCACAGAGTACTGGAGTTGACGAGAGAGCAATATACAGCGCTCAAGTGAAGCGTATCTATAAAAGTGGCACGAAGTGGCATGTCAGTTGGTCGGTTGTAGATAATAATGGCAAGATTGATGGTCTAGAAGAGAAGCTGATGAGTTCTGTAAGTCCTTACCATGCAAAATTGGTTGTCAGCTCTCTGCCTATAGATTTAATTCTTCTTTAGACCTTTGACGCGGTTGTAGTCGCGTCTGGCCATTACCATTCGCCTCACATTCCAGACATGTCTGGGTTATCCGTGGTAAAGAAAGATGGCCTTCACGGATCATACATTCCAAACGATATAGAACGCCGGAAGTCTACAGAGGCGAGGTGAGTATTCGGTAATCTGTCTCAGGAGCTGACCAATTGAATTGATTGCCATGATGTATGCTAACAGATTATTCAGAATGTCTTGATGGTTGGCGGAGGTGTATCATCAATGGATATATCGCGGGACCTTGGGCGCGTTCCCAAAATGATATTCCAGAGCACACGCAACGGCGAGGCAGATCCACCCGCTCTCATGCTTCCAGATAATGCAGTAAGAATTAGCGAGATTGACCATCTCGAACTACTACCTGGAAGTGATGACACGGTACCAGATGGTGATCCCTTGCCGCTAATAGCCTGTCTGAGGTCAGGTCAACGATTATGTCAAATTCACAAGTCATTGTTTGCACAGGCTATCAAATTGCATTCCCCTTCCTTCCAGACTACCACGACCATTCAATGCCTATTCAGGATGCTGATGATACTATTCTTGTTACCAACGGGACACAAGTCCATAACACCCACCGAGATATCTTTTATATCCCAGATCCGACTCTTGCTTTTGTCGGGATACCCTACTTCAACACAACATTTACCCTCTTTGAATTCCAGGCTATTGCAGTGACAGCCGTCTGGTCCCGAACTGCATTTCTGCCATCAACAACCGAGAGGAGACGTGAGTACCTCGTCAAGCTAGAGCAGACCGGTGGCGGGCGCAGATTTCACTCGCTGAAGAATAAAGAAAAAGAATATGTTCGTGAGCTCATAGCGTGGATAAACGATGGTAGAACCGCACATGGACTTGTTCCCATTGAAGGCCATACGACGGCTTGGTTTAAAGCTATGGATAAACTGTGGGACCAGGCGAGAGCAGCGATGAAAGAAAGAAAGGAGCAACAAGAGAAGATTCTCATGCGCATTCCATTTTCAGCTGATTGTACTTCGCTGGAACTGCCACGTCTTAATTAGTTCTTCTAGTCAATATAAGATACAGATCGGATATCGCACTGGCGCTGTACCTTTATAGGTGTTACTATACCAGCACTACACGTAATATTTCCCTCTTAATCCTGTTTTGACAACTATTAACAAGTAAAAGGAGCAGCGCAGCGCGGCCGGTTGTTTAGGCGCGGTCGTGGAACTCTATTTTTTATGTTTTGATTTAATAAGAATGGCTTTGCTGGTAAGTCACGAAGAAATAATCATATTCTGACCACCCGACAAAAGTCAATACATGCTCAAGCCCCCAGCAGCCATGGCACCCTTCACCCTCGGAATATCCCGAACGCGGTCCCGATACTTGGCCATGTCTAGATCAGTAGGATGTCATGGCAGCGTAGTGAATGATACATTATCCACCTGTCATAATTAAGTACATCGGGGCGTTCTCGCATTTCCAGTGGTGCAGCTATTGCCCGGTTGGCTGTGTAACACAAGCTTTCCCAACTACCACACACTCTGGATGCTACTGGACGGAGTAAACCTCGGTCGGGTCCACGCCAGTTAGGATCGACCCGTAGACCCGGCGTGCCCAACGAATCGTTGCGATCCGGTTTAGTTGAGTCGATGCATCCGGAGTGATATCGAACCAATTTACGAGTGGTTTTCTCATAGGCAGTCAGAAAGATTAATGACGTCTGATACACTGCTTAACTGTCTACGCGCTTTTGCAGAGTATACGCCGCAAGTACTCTGGTCTATCTGCTTAACCTTGTTTTCGTTTGTCAAGGGGGTCGCGGGCATTCCGAGCTAGACAAGTCGTCTTCTAGTTAAAGATGGCGGTGGTCCTGTCCCAGCCGAAGTTTCCCCGCTCCGGTGTTAACTGTTTTGATTCGTAGAAAGATTGATTGTTGATTTTCTCATCTGAGAATCTGGGGGTTTATCTACGAAGCGGAATCAAATCAATTCCAGCCAGAACGACTGCTACAATCCCGTGCGTGAAACCATTGTCGAATCTCTATCCACAACAATCATGTCGCCAAGAAGTCCCTCGCTTGAATGTTGCCATGCAGCATGGACCTATTAACTGCTAGGATAGAACCTGTGACTTGAAGTCTGATCAGACATAAGCCGGATATTTTTGCATTTCGACAAAGGTGATGAAGTGCTCAAGTGTTTCCCATCCACTTATTCTCCTGGTTACCCCAGTCCCAGTCGTATCCGAAATCTCACCATCGGCATATGGCACTAAAGGGAGAACGGCAGGATCTCTATGTCTAGTGCCTCTACAGAGAATAGCACGTGCAGCGCTGCTGGAGAGTAAAGCAACGAGCCCAAATATTAATTCTGGGCGAAGGACGCTAACACACAATATCGAGACAAACCAACAGGATTAGAAACTGGTTTGAAGGCTTGGTAGTAAGAAATAGATAATTGCCTTCATGACGATCCTTTAACTTGTCGCAGTGGGCACAGACTCATTCTTAAGGATGGTATTTGTTGCCTCTGCCATAGTCTTATAAAAAGATCTTGAAAGTCTTGAAGCGGGGAGAACTGTATCACAATGATAGAGTTGGAATTTGTCTTGTTTGAGGATGGAAGCCTAGTGGCATATTTGTGTAGCATTATTCATGGGTTACCTAATGGAAAAATCAAAGACAAAAGAAAGACAAGAACATCATCATTGTGTCGTCTATGAAGCTGATAGGAAATAGATATGGGCAGTGTCACTTCCCTATAAACTTCTAGGAAAGGCCAGTGGCAACGGTGCATTGAATCTAGCTCATAGTTCGGCGAATGTAACCAGGTATTGAGTCAAGGTATTCGCTTGGCCGTACCGGGCTATGCAACCCTAACTATTCGAATGACTATAAGATATTTGTCATCGTTATGCTACTTGTAACTAATGTCTGCTTCAAACGTCACAGTAGGGTTAGGTCCAGAAATTGAGGCCCACCAAAGAGGATCCCGCGCACTAGGGCTTCCCGGCTCCTTCCAGATTCCCGACTGTAATCCCATAGTTTGAGGCCTTCTTTCTTCTGCAGGGCAAACCTGGATGGTCCTGGAGCGTGACAGCCTCTTTCTTAACCAGGAGAACTCAGTGCAGTGCCTCACTGCCTCTCAGTCTAGACCTTAGCCGCGGCTCAAGCAATGTCTCCCATGCACGCGAACTTTAGTCCATTAAAATTGCTCTCGGAGGTTGACAGAGGTAAACTATACGATCCCTTTGTCGTATAGCTGCTATGGGTTTCTCCTGGTATCTAGTAATGGGCATAGATTCCAGGTCTCGTTTCCAAGAGGACCGTGATTGCTCTTGTGCTGCTGCGGTCCTATATCAAGCATATGAGCGCGTATAAACTCCAGGAAGCCCTCGTTGAACAATGCATCCATTCTTCTGGTATAGTCTTCCTGGCTTAATGTTAAAAGGTCACGTCAAAATATGGCATACGAAGGGTGATTCGTTTGACTGGGAAGGCAATGGATGATACTGATTCCATGGGAAGAAGGTCCGACGTAGCAATGAATGAGAGCAATACCGTATTACATTGTCTAACAAATTAGAGCGATTGGAACAAACAGCTATGGACTTTGCAAGAAGTTGAGATCCAGATTCCCGGCTGTCGCGCGGTTTTCTCCTAGCTGGAGGAATACCCACATATCGTCAGATTCGTTCCACTAGATTCTCAAGCCGATGCCGCATCTTGCATATTGCCTACAATAGTTCCAGACTAAATCAGCGCAGCCAGCGTTTTTCCAACTACTCACTACTGTCGACTCCACGTATGCTCTGCCGAGGATATCGGGATAGCCAAGTTGTCCTTGGGTTCACGATTAGGGAGCAAGTATCTGAGCTAACAATGCCACCAACGCCAGGGACCACACCACACACAACTAGAACACGCAAACGATGCTCGAGTGAAGTTCAGGGCTACCACTCGCGAATAAACTGTCCTGCTGTTCCCGGGCACTTGGAATGCAACATACTACTGGCGCTAGTCGTACACAGCCCTAACTATTTAGTGATGCGTAGATTTACCGAGCCCGATGACAAATTATGGGCGCCACAAGTGTTGCATTCTGTGTGAACAGTTAGCAGGAAACGGAAAGAGAGAATGCTTCAGCATGCACAAGAATATTAGGGGGGTGGGGGGAAGGCTATATGGTTACACTGCAGAAAGTCAGTATTAGCGATAACACAAAACACTTACCTCTTCCATGCGTAAGGAATTCAGGCTGTGATGTTTGCAGATCCGCACTGCCAGCTCATTCAACGGCCTGGGCCATCTCCCAGCGTCAATATTACGACTCGTAGGGTTAATGTGCCTCACAGAACTAGTCGACTGCCTTTATCTATCGAGTCTTGTATGTCATGACTTCCGGAATTTCTGCAACTGTGTCATGAAGGACGAGAGCGTATAAGAATGTCTAACACCCGCTCCTGTCTCAACGAACTTTCACATTCCTCACTGATCAACTTGCGACATTTTCCTCTATCGTACCAAAGCAGCAAACTACCATGCCAAGATACAGCGATATTGTCCAGGAGCTCCGCGACGAGCTGCTCTGGGAAGTAGATGATCTTGACCAGGCGGTCAAAAACGCTCGTAAATGGGATATCCCGAGCTGGACAAGTACGGAATCATCTCAGCCAAAGGCTTCCTTGATTTCGCCGACTGGCTGGTCCTACAGAGTCAACCAAAGGCCGGGACATCTACTACATCCTTTGTGTCTTCTACTTTGTCCTTTCCCAGGAGCCATTGGGCGGCCGTCAGACCCGCATCCACCCATTAAGCATCAACAAGCCGCTGAAACCCCTATCAGAGTGGGTAGTCAAATTCGCCCAGAAGGTCGGCTCTAGCATGGACAAGCATTCCTCGATCAACGAGACTACAATCACTTCGTTCCGAAACTCTCCACTCTTTCGTGTTTTTGAATCCGAAGAGGACTCCAAGAAGTGGACAACGTTCAATGACTTCTTTTCTCGCAAGCTTGACAAGCCACGTGAAATCGATGGCCCAGACGATGATCGTATCGTGGTCTTCCCTGCGGACTCCACTTTCGCCGGAGCATATGCCATTAGCGACGATTCTGAGGTGGTCCTGAAAAAAGAAGAGTACAGGATGGTGAAAGACGAGGTGATTCTGAAGAATGTTCCTTGGAGAGTAAAAGATCTTCTCGGTAAATATGGTGACAATCCAGTGCCTGGAAATGAATCCCAAAAATACGGAGACCTTTTTAAAAACGGACTCTGGACTCACGTCTTCTTGAATTCGTTTGACTACCATCGCCAGCATGCACCAGTCTCAGGGACTGTGGAAGAAATTGGCCGGATTCACGGCGCCGCCTATCTTGAGGTCCTGGTAAAGACGGACGAGCAGGTTGGTCACAACTATCTGGAGCTCTCCCGCCAGATTGGAGAGAAGCCACGGAATCCTTCTGGCGTTCAGACCCTTGACGCCCCAGACACTCCAGGCTATCAGTTCCTTCAGACGCGGGGAGTGGTGATTATAAACAATGAAAACTTGGGCAGAGTTGCTGTCTTACCCATTGGTATGGCCATGGTTTCTTCCGTGAATATGAGAAAGGAATTGAAGGGCAAAAAGATTAAGAAAGGCGATGAAATCTCGCACTTCGCATTCGGCGGCTCGGACTGCATCATTATGTTCGAGCAGAAGGCAAGGGTCTCAGGCTTCCCAGATTCCGACCCAGCTTCTCGCGAGCATTTCTTTTATGGTGAAAAGTTATGCAGGGCTTATTACAAACATAAAGAGGAGCCAAAAAGCTTCGGGTCTCGGTTCGGTTTAGCTTCCAGATAAAACCTTTTTAAGGACAATCGGTAGGAACGGTCAAAGAGGAGGGCAGCGGTGTCATTTTCTAAAATATGGTATTCATTATCTCTACTATAATCTACAGTCATATTACGTACCTATAATCAGAAGCTCTTTTCCAGCATACATGTTTGCTTGCGTTTTTCGCTTGAAACCTTGACACTGCGGTTGCTTTTCTCGCCCCTTGGCGAGGACCAAGGGCATAGTGGCAACCTATCTTTACGGTGCAAATAATACCCTGGTCTTCCATCCTACATACAATTTTACACTGTCTTGTGCGATTTAGTTTAGAACGATAGGTTCCAGCGCCACCTTATATTAAACTAACCGGCAATAGATTTACCGGCATTCCTATAGCCATGTGCAAGAGGTCTGTTGGTATGCCGCTGCTTACAGCTGCGTTGGACATGCTCGGGAGATGCTATAAGGGAAAACCATGGTAGTTGTCAACGCCCACCCCTGCAATATCTGCTGTTATTTTTCTCTTTATTAATAGTATAGCCTCTCCTAATTCAGAAACTATTTCCCTTTTATTTTTATCTATTTTTGTTGATTTTATATCATGGTTAAAAAACCAGGATATTATTAGTAGGGATAGCCCGGATAGGCTGATAATTCTTATATAATAATTATCAGCCTATTATTATGGAATTATCAGCCTATTAGTCCTAAATCTCATCTTACCTAACTAAACTGTTATTAAATTAAATTAATCTTTTAGAGAAGCTTTACGCTATTATTTTTAAACTATAAATCTATTTTTAACTATATTTATATATTATATGGTGGAATATTACCTCTATTAGCTAAAGTAATTTAGTAACTACCTATAATAATTAGATAGGAGCCCTATATCTTACTCTCTTATATATTATTACCTTCATTATTAGTAGCATCCTCATCTAGCAGAAAGGTAAAGTCATCCAGTAGATATACTAGAAAATACTAATCCTTTATTAGATAGCTTAAAAGGGTCTAGTAAAATATTTAAGAGCCCTCCCTAATTAGGTTCATGTAGTTAGTGGCCTAGTTATATAACACCCTACTACTATTAGTAACTATCTAATACTAGTAGAAATATAAAATTAATTAGCGCAGCAGTACCCTTTTATTACCTATAGGTGTGGGATTGCAGGGATCCTCTAGTATGGGTGTAGGTAGATAATATTACCCTATAACTTAGCTAGCTCTTATGCCACATGACCTCTAGATAGTAGTAGTATAGGTAGTATTAGTAGGGCTAGCTCCCTGTGGCTAATAAAAATAGGTAGAGATATATTCTAATTAGAGTTGCATTTGGTCTGAGTTTGGGTGAGTTCAACCATAGTTAGACCCGAACCGCTGCAATTTTAAGTTCAAATTTTAGAACCCACCACCAAACTGGACCTGATCTGGTTTGGTTATAGTTTAACTGTAAAAACCCGCCGCTAGGCCTACCTAGGTATAGCTAAGCCTATACTAACTAACCATGGTTAGATTCAGTTCAGTTTCGGGTTGGTTAAACCACTAATTTTAACAGTTTTAACCCTTACCATTCCCCCTGAGGCCCCTTCAGGGACCCCTCTGACACCCCCTATCAAGCATGCTTATAGAAAATTTATATTTTTATATGAAATATATGGTAATTATAGTCATTTTAATCTATATCTAAAATATCAATTCAATATCTATAGGGCTGAATAGGTGGTGGTTAAAAAATTATTTCTAAACCATGATGGTTGTCAACCATCAGTTGAATATATATATATCTACACTACTTTCATACCAACCCATGACAGAGATGATTATTCCCTTATATCTCAACAACCACTAGGTATTTTTTAATAATTTTAATATCATTAGGATATCTATAGAATTCAGTGATTTCTAGGTAAAACAGTGCAGGTTAGTTAACCAGGGCCGTTAAAACTGCGAAAACTGTAACCAGCAGTTTTCACCAAACCCACATCAGGTCTAGGTAGAGAAACTGAACCCAAAGTGATTCCCTAGGCTTACCCCCAAACCCACACTGCTTTGAGTTTGGTGAGGTTTGGGTTCAATTTTTGCGGGTCGGTTATGCCACTCTAATTCTAATAACTAGGGTGTGTCAAGGTGCAGGCTCGCAGGCAGGCAAGGATGGGTTAAAGAGGTAGTTAACACTCAGGCTAGCTTCACTAATCCTTATCTAACAGTCCCAGGCTGCAGGTAAACTGGTATAGGTAGGCTCTATAGATAGGATATAGCTTAAAGAGCTTTAAATAGGTTATAGAATTATATAGTAAAGATATTCCTAAGCTTATATAATTCTCTCTTAGTAATACTAACTCCTATCTATAGTAGCACTATAATAGTACTCCCCTCCTTAGAGTTAAGCTCTATTAAGACTATCCCCTAGTTTAGGTTTGCTTAGGTATTAGTAGTAGAAATTAGCTATAATCTCTTATATATTCCTTAGGCAATAGGTAGATTCTCTAGTAGGGTTATTATAGCCTAGCTATTTAATAGTATACTTTAGATAGGGGCCCTTAGAGTTGCATAACCAAACTGTTAAAGTCGAATCCAACCCTCACCGAACTCGCAGCAGTGAGGGTTCAGTTCGGTTTCAGTTTCCCTAGGGTGAAACCAATTCAAGTTTAGTTAAAACCATTAGTTACAGTTTTTGCAGTTTTATTAGATTAGGTGAATCCGCCTAATCTAATTAAAGATAATACAGAAGATTACATATTTAAAAATAGGTTAAGGCTAAGTAATCTAACTATAGTTAGATTTTAGGAAGACTATATAGTGAAGTAGAACTTCTCTATTATATTAAATAGTAATCTACCTAGTAATCCCTATTTATAAGCTAATAGAAATGCCCTGATTTAGACTGGTCGTGGATTGGGTTTGGATGGATCCGCAAGGGGTTCAATCCAACCCATGTGGGTTGTGGGTTGATCCACCACCTATCTAACCCACCCTCATATCCATGCGGGTTGGATTGCGGATAATGGATATATCCATACTACCTAGTCAGGTGACCCCTAGTATTCTAATTACCACCCATTTTTCTAGTATTCTAGCCACACCACTAGGATATCTATATATTTTATTTATCAATATAATAACTTATTATATAAATAATATATATTACCTATCCTATAAGCTGAAATATGCTTAATTAGGGGGTATAGGGCTTCCTAAAGTTAGGATGAAAGATGGTGTGGAGATATATATTTCTTATTACTACTGTCCTAAGCATCATTATCTAAAATATAAAATCCACCATAACTCTAATTTCTCTTAGTAAATCTAATATTTTTATTTATATATAGATAGATATGACTATTCTCTATCTATATATATAAAAATATATCCCTACCTAGGCCTAGATTAGGTTGGATAAGCTTATCAGTCCCTTAAGGCCCTAGATCACGTGCACCCAATGGGTTATCTATATCCATGTGGGTTAGATCTCATCCATCCATATCCATGCAGATTAGATCAGGGTCAACCCCTATCCAACCCAAAGTGCATATTGGGCGGGTTGGATATGGATTTGCGGATTGGGTCAGCCAGTCTAGACATAGACATAGATATAGATATAGACATAGATATACACATACACACAGACAGACAGACAGACCAGACAGATAGAACAGATAGACAGAACAGACAGACAGACAGTAATAATAATATTAAGACTTAATAATTAAGATAATTAAGAGATTAAACCTCCACCCACCACCCACATGAAGAATGAAAAGGAAAAATGATATTCAGGGAGAGAGAGAGTATATGAGTAGAGGGTAGGGTAAAATAAAAGAGAGGGAAAAAATAGAAAAAGAAAAAGAAAGAATAATAAATAAATATATAGGCAGGAACTGTGGAGTCCGCTAAGGCAGGATAGTCAGGACCATGGAGTCTAGAGTGGATGGAGGATGGTTGTGGAGTCTGTGCTACGGAGGTGCTGCGGTTGCCTGTATTTAGTATAGGAACCATGGAGTCCGCGCACGACACTGTTACTAGTAGATCATGGCTACCTGTAAGAAAACCTTACTATACATTCTAAACCCCCAAAGTCTGTCTAAGAAGAAGCAAAGCTCATATATTTATATGTTTCAAGCCCAAAGCAGATAAGTGTTTTAAGTTCACTGAAATCAACAAGATGTCTACCCCTACATTGTTAAACCTCCAATGCCCAACCTTACCTTTAAACACCAAAATCACCTATGACCACCTAAGGCCCCTTAAGAAGCTCACACAAGATTTAAAGGCCGGTGCGCAAGCACTTAAAGGATTCTGTACCCTGTGATCGATCACTCCCCGTTACTCGTACGCTTACCCTAGCCCCAACCATACTATTGACCCACCCTCCTCTCGACTTCTCAATGTTCCACCGTGCGATCGCTCTCATTGTGAAACTCAGTGGTGCAGGCGAGTACATAGAGAGTATTCTTCGAGATATGGAGGAAGTCAGTGTGAAAGAATATGGGTCGACAATTTTAGGGCACTTAATGACATTACGGCTCGGTGGTTGGCTAAAATTATTAGCTGTATTCTGATTGCTTGTTAAAGGCCATCCTGGCTTGTCAACAAATAAAGTCGCGTGTGTTTTTCATTTACCCTTACCCCGACCCCTCGGAGGCTAGCGAATACAGTCTTTCTCGAAATCAGTGCTTAATTTATTTTCCTGTCCCACTGGTAAGAACAGCGCCATGATCGGGCTGTTTTAGTACCTTGTGTGTTGAACTACAGTAGGGAATTTCGATGATTTTTGACTTTTTACGATTAAAAAGCATAGTTCCAATGACCTCAAATATGTTCATCCCCTTCTCCAGGGGAAATCAGAGGCAATTGAACCTCGAGGGCATGGCGATAACGTTATATACTAGCTAAAGGTCCAAAAAAGAGTAATGATTGACATTCTTTATGCCTCCCATGAGAGTGCTTTTCCTTTACGATACAAAAGGTTGGAGCCAGTTTGAGCCCCGATCCAGCACCTGATGCATTCAGAGCGACCCCTTCATCCCATCCTCAGCTAGCTTCAAGATGGGCCTCATATTCTCCGGCTGCACTCTTTCCCATAGAGAACCACTACCATCCTTGACTCCTTGATCATTTATCAACCGAAACCACTGCTCAGCAGTTCTGATTCTGTTTGGATGGATCTCATCGAGCAGCTTGTAGTCTCTCTTGATTATCCCTTGATTCCTGCCAGAGTCCTTCCACAGATTCCAAAAACCAGTGAAATTCTGCCGAACGGTCATGAAAGCTGGGTCACTGGGATCAGAGTTGTAGCCACCGCCCAGCTCTGCAGTCGTGCTTAAAGGTCCTTTTGTCCAGTAGGTGTCCAGGTCAACATCAATGAACCGCGCCGGATGGCCTGTGACTGCTTCAAAAGCACGAGCTAGGTCATCATAATGGACGTGTTCGATCGCAACTTCCAGGTTCAATCCGTTTGCTTTGTCGATGGTGTCAAACATCCATCGGACATAATACCCGCAGTCGTCTAGAGACACATGGGGTATAGCGCCCGAACCTAGTGGCAACCGCCACGTAATAATCTCATCTTCCACTGTCGGAGAGACAGGTGTCCCACTCGCAATTGCCATTTCGATGTATGGGCCGCTTGTAAAAACAGCAGCCTTCATCCGACCTTGGTTAAATTGGTTCTGGAAAAGTACCCATTCCGCAATCCGTCCTTTTCCATCATAATGCCCACAGCGGTACTTTGGATCATACCCACTCTTTTTATACCCATAGTCCAGGTTTCCGTAGACAAAGAATTTTATGCCTTCTTCAATAGCGAGCTCATAGGCGCGAATTGCCCAATAGGTCTCGGTTTTCTCCCCGCAGTTAAACCCATCTATATTAATAAACGCGCCGTCGCAACCGCGATAACCCGCGCGAAGATCGGATTCGTTGGCAAATGAGCCTTCGATAAATTCAACATTTCCAAGAGATTCCAGCTGTTTAGCACGATGGGATGTCTTATTGCGAGTGAGTACCCTAACGTGGTACTTTTTATCGCGCACTAGACCTGAGATGACTGCTATACCCTGGGCACCGGTCCCTCCAACAACAAATATTTTGGAAATTGCTTGGGATGCCATTTGGACAATAGAACTAGCGAAAAACCAGGAAGGTACAGTGAAATGTTCAATCGTAATTTACTTGTGGAGAGTTCGGTGCTCCTTTTAACATGTCTAGCCCATCTCATAATGATTTGGATCAAATGGCCTAGAAGCAGTTACGTCAACGATTATTAATCAATAAATCACTCAGGACCAGTACAGGGTAGTTAATTGGTATCTAGTAATCACTGGGTGGAATCACTAATCATCCTTAAGTTATCGCACTCTGTAAGTTTAAATCGCCGTATGGTACCCAAAAGGCAATATGGCGAGGTCCACTCACCCTTTCGTATCATCTCTCATTTTTTGACACCTCACTGTAGCATGGCCTCCCATGTCTGGTTGCCGAAAACTGAAGTTTCTGTCGGCTGGATTATTCACTTTAACGCCACTTAATAGGTCATGTGCATCAATGCCTCATTACAGTTCCATGGGAATATCTTCCTCTGATAACACTATGTCATGACACCATGACCATGCGTACTTCAGTAATCATCTTATGCACGCACGTCAGGAGAAGAATTCCTGGTTCAGGCGATGGGTTCAGACATGGTACAGTGACATATTGAAAACATGACATTCACGGTATCAGAGCGTACTGAAAAGATTCGTACGCCAGGTTCCAGTATGAACTCCAACAATCAGGACTAGTTAGCACTTTGCAACATTGTTGTAATCCACTATGCTCTGTTATTCGAGTTATCACGCTGATGATGGCGGATGGTTTAGTAATTGCCCGAGTGGGCTATCCAGGGTCACCAATTCACCCTCCGCTGAACAGGCTGTGTGCCAAAGTATCAATATACTAGTCTCTTATATCGAACCAGAGAGGATGATCGCAGCCACGCATTAATTCTTTACTCTACTACTATAGCTTTGATACAGCAATAAAGCTGCGCTGGCCGATTCAAGATGGCGAAATGGGCGCATCTTTTTTGATAATATCCCTGCAGATTTCCCCCGAAGGCAAGCCCATCTTTATGCTCAACTTTCTCCAGTTTTACAACTAGCGCAGTATCCCAACGGAAGTAAAGCACTCGCCCGCAGCGGCCACGGCGCCTGGATTGTGAGATACGCGGCGGAATTCCGAAGACTTGCAACAGAGGCTGGCGGTTTTGAATTGCTGTACCTCACTTCAATTTAGATACGTTGCCGAGCAGGGCTTATCAGTAGACAAATTGAATGGCCCTCTTTCCTTCTTTGTCTTCCAAATTGTGCAGGACGCTTGCCATCCACGAGTTCGGTGACTACAAGCGGATTCTATCCAAAATAAGTGATGAGCCCTCCATAATAGGATCCGGTATCCCACTGAACACAACACCCTACCTACCAGAAGCTTGTTTCTTTACTGATTTTACAAGGCAGCGCCAACCTTGCGTGACCTGTGCGAGAACGAGAAGATACATGCTACTAATATTAATACGGACATGATTTACCTAGCTAACCTACACTCATCCCTTAAGTTCACAGACGGTCAGCCCCTCTCCAGGATGGCCTTAGGACTTGCTTTTTCGTCCAGGCCAACCATCTTTTTACAAGACAGTCAGATACCTTTCTCTGCCCAATGGAATTCAAGAACCAAACCACCCAAGCATTAGTGCCTTTCCATAAATACTCACAGTTACCGTATCCAGAGGATTTAACCAGTATTTGTTGGGCGACTTTCCTGGCATAACTCCTTCGGCGCCATGCTATTCTTAGCATGGTTTCAACTTCTCCCCTTGGTGTGCTCTAAAAGGATGACACCAATCAGGCAAGTAGTAATATAATCCAATACAAAATTATTAACAAACAACATCTGATAATCATTTCCTTGACCCATTACTGCCTTTAGTTCAATACCCTTGAGCATCTGTGAGTAGGGTATCTTGGCAATCTTTCACTCTTTAATAAACACCATTCATCTATGCAGATGCCCTCTTCATTGCCTTGGTTTGCAACTTTATTATCAAGAATACTAGGGTGTAGAACACTCCAGCCCATAATATAACTAGCCCGGCATTTCTCCAGCTGTAGTACTCTTCATTCAAGTTAAGTATCTTTAAGTAGTCTTGTCTAGTTTGTATATTAGCACACCTTGTAGTTCTCTGTAGCCCCTGGGTTTAAAAGGTTCATGCTATATCCCATGCCTTGCTAATAGGTGGAGAGATAGTTACTACATGTCTTATTTATAGGAGGATTAAAGACCGTAAGCTCACCCTGTTCGCAAGTAATATTGATGGAGAAGGTGGTGAAGGTAAGGAAGGCACTAAAGAGGTAGTTGAAGGGATTAAGGTAGTAGAGCCTAAAATGTGATGGTTAGCATTAATCTTATAGGTGTTGATAATTGTATGAGGCTTACTAGTATCTCTAGAATGCTGTGATCTGGGAGTAAGGAATAAAGACACTATAGAATGATATGAGGGTGGTGATGACCAGTAGGTTGATGAGTGATGTAAAGGTTATATTAGGAGTATATATGGTGATTAATTATCCAATACTAGTGTACAACATCTTGTAAAACATCTAGATGATTTATTAGTTTGGGCGAGTAGTTAACAAAGAAGAGAGAACTTACTATGATGAAGAATATGCTGCCTGCCTACTTAGTATTATTTGGTAATCTAGTAGTCTAGTACTAACACATAAAGTATAACACACCATAGATGACTAGGTAGGGCAGCTTAGAAATAATTAAGCCAGTGATGAATAGTATGATGGCACTGCTCATATTCCAATGGTATGGTAGTAGTTCGATAGAAAACTAAGCATAGAGAAGAGAGAGAAGGAAAGTATGTACATGGTGGGGAGATATTATAAATAGAGGGCGGAGTAGTGTAAACTAGTTAAATAACCCCAAAGCAGTAAGCAGTTAAGAGGGGCAGAAAGCTCTGTGTAAGGAGGTTAGCAGGGAACATGGTGATAGTGTCACGGGCTAGAAGCCGGTTCAACCTATGACCTAGGTTTGGACAGTAAGAAATCGCTAAGGAAGAAATCTAGCTAGGGCCGCGGCAGCCAAACATAAAAAGGAGTGAGTGAATGGTTCTCGCAGTCACATGACCGGGCAGATTACTACATTGATTAGTATGAGGTCATGTGGCCTGCAGCTGGTGTCCAGTTTAGATATGACTTCGCGAGGGCTGTATGATTTGATTGAACAGCCTGAGCACCCAGCAGGCCTTGCCTGCTACACTACTCCCCCCTTTCCCTGCTGGGGTGGCGGCTCTCCCAGGCGTCAAGCACTGCTATGTCGGTGAGGTTAATAGTGGGCTCCTATGTAGGGTGTTCATAGCCTATCTATTTAACTAAGTACTCTATGCAGCAGCCTTACCTAATGCGCCTTTTATATTCCCCTAAGATCTCTTTAACTGTGTATTCAGCTTCGCCCTTAACTAGCTTAGGGGGTGGTTAGTAATCATTATTTAACTAGCTCAGGAACAGGTTGTTCACAGTGGGGCACAGGAGGCTGACATGAAACATATTATGTATACCTAGTAGTGTGTCTAGTTAGTAAGCATGCAACCTAATAGTCTCTATTACTGTAAACTTTGCATGCTGCGTATTAAGCTTCTAGCTTAGGTAATCTGTCTAAACATTCCACAGGTCTAACTATACTTTCAGATTAATAGTGTAGCGCGGGGCTATTAAGTATAAGCAGTTTAAATATTCTTCTTAACACTATTGGGCAGCAGCAAGCTCTAACTAGGCTATATTAGTAGCTTCCCTCATCTTTATTATAATTACTTCAGCCCTCTCCTTTAGTAAGTGTGCTATGTTCATGGCAGTAGCTTCCTAATCTAGTAGTTTAACTTCTAATAGTTTAATGTTATATCCATGATCTAGGAAGAATAGACTAACTCCTATATTTACAGTATCCCTACTATTAATAGCAAGCTAGGTTATTAGTAATAATAACTTCTAGTTAGTCTGGGCGTAGTTATAGAAGTTCTACAGGTAGGCTTCTAGTATAGTATTTATTTATTTAATCTACCCATCCATCTATGGATAGAAGGCTGTTAAGAGCTATTACTTAATACCCAGCTGCTTGCAGAAGTGTTCCCAGAATTAGCTAATAAACTATGGACTGTAGTCTGATGTGATCATGCTAGGGATGCTATAGTAACTAATAAATTAATTAATTAATAACTATACTACTATCTCTGAATCTGTTTATTTATAGGGCACTAGGATCATGCCTTTACTAAGCCTATTACTAATTACTATTATGTCCTCATAACCATTAGACGTGGGCAGCTTTGTGATGAAGTTGATGGCAATCTTATGCCATTTATGATCTAGGATTAGCAGTGGCTTTAGCAGGCCTTAGTATTATTCATGCTATATATAATTAGCACCATACTTATCACAGTTCTGTATAAATTATTAGATGTCTGCAGAGAGCTCTGGCCAGTAGAAGTTTCAGGCAACTATTATATATAGTGTGTTCTTCCTAGGGTGGCTAGTGAGCACTAAGTTATACATCTCTTGCAGTATCCTTATTCACAATAATTCTGAATTAGGAACCCATTTGTAACTTTAATATAATAGGTGGCTATCTGGTGATGTTAAATATTTAGTAATTAACACCTATATATATAGCTTACTAGGGAAGCATGTAGCTCCTTCCTCTAATACTTAATATATTTTATTTAGAATAGTGTCATGTAGTTAGGCCTCCTCCTAGTATTCTTTTAATAGTGGCAGTGGTTCATCTGCAGGGGTGGTATAAAAAATTATATAATACTATTAATTATTATATTAATTAGTATAATTATTTAATAATCTTATGTCCAGGTTAGGCACCACTTTATAGATATGGGATGCCTATATACGCATCTAACTAGTAATAGTCTATAGTAGCACTAAGCAGTGATTATATGCCTTAAGTCTGTTATCTTCTATATCCTATAGCATGTCTTAATCCCTTCATAATAGGGCATTAGGCTGAATAGCTAATTTCCTAGGCTAATAGTGCATCTTGTAGTTAAATTAGCTTAACT